AGGTGCCCTGTATATGGTAATGATAGTACACAAAGAGAAATCTAACTATATTCCCAGCCCAGTGATCGCCTCATGAATACATACATGAGAAGAGCCACTAAGAAAATTGTCATAGATCCTCACCAGTGTCATAGATAATATTAGCAACACAGTTAACTAGGTTAACACTTCTGTTCTTCACTTAATGCTTTTCTGTTTTAACTGGCGGCTCCTGTAATTCTTGTTCAAGGTTTATTAAAATTTTAAAACAACAGAAAGTCAGAAATTGAATTGACATTTGTCCTTTCATGCTCAAAACTAGCTGCTACCGGTTTAAATCTCCTAAGATGTGATAAAAGTCTGACACAAACAGTTAATATAACATCAGGTCCTGAAAACGTAAACAGAGGCATCAATTTCCTGATTACTGAAGGGCATTCACTATAATTTATAAGCTATATAAAATCACAGGCCAAAACCTGATTTTTATAACTCAAGAATAGCATACTGTGAGGCAGACTGTGAGAAACAAACTTTATTAAGCTATTTTGATCAATTCAGAGGTAGAAGAAATTTTCTTGAGAGAAGCAGAGCTATTTTATTTAGAAAACAACAGTTCAAAATAAACTTGTTCAATTTCACTTCTTGGTATATATCCAAGAGAAATAAAAATATACAACCACAGAAAAAATTTGCACACAATTGTTTGTAGAAGTATTAGTTACAATAGTCAGAGTTAAAATAATCCAAATATCTATTAACTGGTGAACAAATAGACAAAATGCAGTATATCTACCCATACAGTGGAAAATTTGGCAATAAAGAAGGTATGAAGTACAGATACAAACAACCTTAACAAATCTTGAACACAGTCTGTTAAGTCAGAGAAGTCAGACACACATACAAGAAAAAAGATGATTTCATTTATGTAAAGTGTCCAGAATAGATAAATTATCTACAAAGACAAATGTAGATTAATGGGTGCTTGCCTAGGAATAAGGGGAGAAAGGAATGGGGAATGACTACTCTAGGGTTTCCTTTTAATAAAAATACGATAAAATTCATTGTAGTCATGACTGCACAATTCTGTGAACATTAAATTTATTTTTTTTAAGATTTATTTATTTATTTATACATACACACATACATACATACAAGCACTGGGTACAGTCAGAAGCGCGGGAGGGTGAGAGAATTCACCAGAGCCAGAGCGGGGAGCAGAGCAGGCAGAAGGACCGAAGTACACTGCTGAGGGGAGCAGCGGGCGGCAGGAGGGGTCTGCGCACCATGTGGGGCCCTCCTCCCGTGGCTGGGGAGCAGCCGGGGATCGAACCGGTGCTGCAGAGGCTGCGGGCAGCTTTGCAACCCAGCGCTCAACCACTGCGCCACCGGGGGGGCCCGTGTGAACATTAAATTTAAATACATGAAATACACAGTCTATAGATTATGTCTCAATGAAATTGTTAAATAAGTGAAGCTATGGCTTCTGTGCACATTGTGTTTATTTCATGTTGAGTATATATATAGATATGTATATATATATATATATTTTAAATGTTCATTCATAATTAGGATGCTTTTCATTTTAAGAAAAGAGTCATCTTTTCCCTGCTACCTATCTGAAATGACAAACTGAGTTTTCAAAATTAACGTGACTTTGGATAATGAAAATTAACAACATCTCTTATTTAGAGAGCCAGAACAGAGCAGAGAATCTTGCCAAGAACAAGTCCTAATCAAATCCAGAAACTATCAGGACAGAAATCAGGAGGGGGAGAAGGAAGAGGATGGAGACTGAAGAGCTTTCACGAAACTGTGGTGGTTCTTTTGCATATATAGAAATATTCAGAATGTCCTTTGCACAGCTGCAAAATAGCAAGAACACTGTAAACACATACAAGGTAAGCTTCGCTTTACACACACTGCTAAGAGTGATGAAGAGGCAGGGCCACATGGCCAGTGCCCAGCTCCTAACAAAAGTAAAATTTGAGAAAAGGCTAAAGAAATCCTCCCAAGGGCCTGTTGTACAATGTCAGAAATGTCCATCATTGAAATCAAGCCAGTGCCTCCAAAAGGTCCATGCTAAGATGAAAAGGTGTTGCCTCAGATAGAGTGCAGTAAAAGCCTCAGAAAAACATGACCATTGGTTGTTCATTTTCTCTGGGCACCCTTGTTTCCTGATCCTTTAACACAAACCCACCTGAGCTCCACACCATATAGGCTCTTAAGAGCAAGCAGCATCTAACAAAAGGTACTCCGCACAAGCACTCAAAACTCATGCAGTCCCAGCTTCCTGGACACTGTCTTGTATCCTCACCTCTGGTCCTTGTTCTTTCTCGTGATTCTCTGTCCCTCCCCTGCCCTTACCTACTGTCTGGTAGGTATTTTGCTTGCTCCTGGGTCTGCCTTCCCCTTACACCTTAGCCCAGGTTCCACACATATGTCCTGAGGACTCTATCACTTAACTAAGTCATTGCTACATGTTTGGACCCAAAGGAAATACCAAAGGCTTGAAGGGATGAGGGATACACATCCCTCATTCTGGGAGCAGAAAGAAGAAGAAAAAAGTCAGGCACACAGGGCCCTGCCTGAGCTGAGCCACATGATTAGAGGCACTATCAAGGCAGGATACATGCTGGGTTGGTCCTGCTAGGAGGGACATTTCAGACACACCACCACTTAACAATTGTGCCCCTTTATAGGAAGTTTAGGATTAATGCCAATCAATTTCTTGGCATATATAATCTATAAGTGGTAAGGTTTCTAGCTCAATCATATTTATTAACCAGAACATCTGAAAGTAGGTATATCCCCAGTCTGATGATATTTGACTTGATAAAACAAATTAACAGATATTCCTTTCTTACTTGTACAAAAAACTTCCCAGGTGAAATTAAAATGTGATTTATTAGCCAACATTATTTGGTTCTTCTGGAGTGAAGACACAAGACATTCTGAAGAAGTCTGTAGTGTTTTCAGTCTTTGGTCATTTCTAGGTGCAAAGAAGTTTGCTTCTGAAGAGAAAACCTGAAGGAAAATCCTCTAACTAAGGGCTCTATGTACTACTTCATCAACTCTAAAAGGTCACTCTGTGCAAAATGAATTCTAGAAATGAGAGAGAAATCATCAAAACACAAAAATGATGCACAACAATGTGGACAGATGGGCTTGGATCCGGGAGGCACATAAGCAAATGAGAATCAGGTGACTACATTTGGGGGAACAGAGTTGCTTTCCACAGTGAGTCACAGTTGAATACCTTGTCCTTTCTTATCCCTTTAAAGAGCTAAAAGAAAGGAGTCCTAACACTGCATCTGACCATTCCCATGAGTCAAGGTGAGGCCTCCCCATGAGAGGCTGGGACAGAGCAGTGGAAGAATGATGTAGCGAGAGGCCGGGACTAACCACGTAAGGCTCACAGGCTGTGGGGCTGCACTTGGGTTGTATTCCAGGTGTAACAGGACAGCTTTAATCAGGGCAATGACACGATTCAGGTTATATTTTCAGGTCACGCAGCAGTCTGCTCTGTGGCAAATGTTTTCTGGTGGGGCATGAGTAAAAGCAGGAAGTTTTTATTGTCCTAGTCTGGAGTTCAGTAGGGGAGCAGAACTGAACATGGCTAAGCATGGTTTCAGGAAATGCTCCTGAGATAAAGCCAACAGGAGTTGTTGACAGACTGAAGAAGAAGGTGAGAAGATATGGGAGAAGAGGTGAAAGGGAATAAACACTGAAGGTGAAGGGCAATAGAAGGAAGGAAGCAGGGGCTCTACTTAGAAAAGTACTGCAGTAAAGGGGAACTCAGAGAGGGTGGTAACTAGAGGTCTGGTCTAGTAAGGGAGCTTTGTTTTGTTGGGTGGGGGAGGTGCAGTTCTTTATATGTCTAAGATCAACAACCACCAAAAATTTACAGTCCTTACTGGAAAAATCCAACAGAGTGTTTTGAGGAGTCAAGAAGGAAGATATCTGCATTACCTAGAAAAGAGGAAACTCATTCAAGTGACATTTACTGAGCACCTATTAGATGTTCTTTGTCTTAAAAGGTTCACAATCTAATGTAGAACAAAGTAATAAAAATAAATTATTAAGTAGTAAGATCAAAGCAAGGTATGTTCAGTGTATTAGAGTACTATGATAAAGTGTTATAAATATCATTGCATTGCATACTACAATAATATACAATATATAATATGCAATACCATTATATAATACAATATATAATTTATAGACTGATTAACTTATTTGATTATTAGTATATTTTGGGTAAGTTTTGTTCAATCAAATGCCTCCCATTCTACTTTTCATAAAACAAAGACTTTTTGTTTCTTGCAGAAAGAAAAAATAACATTTAGTTAAGGACTGAGCAAACACAAATTTTGGAGTCAGTTAAAAAAATCTAATGTTATCAAAGATAATAGTTTCATCTCTGATTTTTAAAATTTTTGCTTATCATTTAAATTTTTTCTGAAGTGCTACATGAATGAGTTCAGACATAACTTTTCTATTCTGTAATGTTAAGTAATTCATGACCAAGGAGTTTTACAGAAAGCAAGTACCCTAATTCTCAAGCAGCACACTCTATCTACGTTTGGAAGAACTACTCCAAGTGGGTTCGCAGGGACCTGTCCTCTTCTCAAGGTGATGGGTACCCCATCACCTCCAATTCAATCCTGCTCCTGAGTGAAATCAAAACCTGACCCACCCTCCAAACATTGTGCTCTAGCCAACGAGGCAAATCAGTCAAGCACAATATATGACACAAGTAAATAGTCATTTTCTTCCAAAAACGTGTACATATTTTCAAAATGGTTCAAGAATCAGACTTTTGGTGTTTCAAGAAGAATACTAATTGAATGAGGTAAGATTTACTGTTCTTAAAAAGCACAAATCCTGATTTAGTAATTCTACAACAAAAACATCTCTGGAGCTACTAATGTTCAAAATCAGACCTATGACTCAAAATAAAATAATTACTAGGTTAATGTTTCCCATTTCAACTTAAAATTCTCTTTTCCTTCACCAACCTGCTGAGCTGCGTCTCCATTCACCAGGTGAGGCATCATGGGCACCTCTCCGTTCAGCAATGGCGGCAGTTCCAGAGGGATTTGGTCGGTCATCATCATTGTGACGTACATTCATGGATAATTTCCCTCAACAGGCTTCCTGTAAGAGAACCACCATTTGTTTTAAAAATCACCTCTAACATTGCAAGTCAGAAATTTAAGTGCATCATCATGAGGTCAGATGAAACTCAAATTATTCTCATCAGAGTGTTGTATTATTGAGTGAGTCTCCAAGGAAGAGGAAAACAAAGGCAAGGAAATGGCTTGAATTAGGTGACCAAAGGCCTGCATTTCCTGTGCCTGGACTTGTGTTACAAACTTTTTATATACATATGAATAACGGTAACTACCCTCCCTCCAAGGACCTTTCTGAAGATAAAATGAGGCCATATTTTGAGAACATAAAAATGTATATACACACAAAAAAAATCTATAATGGTTTCTAAGGTAATTACTGAATAGAAGACAAAGAGAATGATCTATAAAAAGCAGGATCAAAATATTGTTATACTTGGAATAAGCAGTTAACCCAAGCAAGTAAATACTGATTAACCTATACCTACACTGCAATTCCTGCAATCACTAACTTTGCGATCAATGTAGTAATGTGTTCCAATGATCTTGCTACCATCATTTCCCTGAAATGGATTTAACTAGTTTCACATCTGCCTCTTTAGTACTTGTGCACGTCTTGAGCTTCTGCGTATCTCAGACAGTACCCATGGTACCTTGTGCAAAAAAGGGCTGAAAGGCAGAGTCCTTGTTTTCACAGAATAAATTCACGCAAGTACTCAAAACAACAGTAAGCCCACGTTCATTCATTAATGTTACTTGCCACCAACATCTAGTTTTTCAATACAACAGCAGGAAAACAACAGTAAATTCTTATTTAGAATTTTAACTTGTTCTTTAAAAAATAGTTGCGCATCCTTCAATTGGGTCTAAAATTTATGGCACAAAAAATTTAACAGGAAGAAGGAGGATATGTAAATATACATATACACACTGTTTTCAGTTCTCTCTGAAACCACCATAGAGTTCATGGTTGAATTTCTTACCATTCATAATAAAGTCCACTGAAACTTCAAATTCATGGCTATTTGGTCAATGAACCCTTTAATTATCAATATTCGAAAAGGCAAAACAGTGCTCCTTTAATGGTTGCCTCAAATTTGTTTGAGATAGGGGTGACAGAAATGAATCATTCCTTCTTATTCTCAAATACCTCTATTCTGAACATTAACTATACCTCCCTTCTTCCCAATCTTACCAAAGAGAATCCTTGCCCTGAAAGTATCAAATGATGCATGAAAGTCACCCAAGAGATTGTAAACTTTTTTATTTTAAATAGGTAAAATTTTACACTATTCATTATAACCCCATTTGGAGAAACTAATTATTTTAAGCACCCAACAATGAAGTCTTGTTCCAACTAGGGAAGCACATTCTATAATAACAGGTCTTATAATTCAGTGTTAATAGTACCATCATGCTGTTTTATGAGGCAATTACTCAGTTCCTAAGCAAATAAAAGTACAAAACCCAAAGGCCAATAGTTTGTCCTGATGAAGGAAACAGATTCTTCGATAACAAAATTAATTAGGATAATTCCACTGACACTATCATGACATCATTTTAATCTTGAGAGGTCAAATGACAGAGTACTGAGATCCATTTAAAGTTTTATTTCTAATATACTGTATATTCTACTAGCACATGAGGAAAGAATGGCTACTTTTTCTCAGACAGATGATATTACACAGGCTACTTTCTTAAGTAATATTTAATGTTTCTTCAAAATTGCAGTGTGGATAAGTGTATTTCAGACCTGAGTATAAATGAGTCACCTCTCATGTAGGGGTGAAGAAGCCCTCCATATCCACCTACCTTTACCTCTCTCCTCTTCAAGCAGAGTTCCACAGCACTTACTGGCGAAGTTGAACAGTACAGATTATGGCTCTGTGTTCTTTTTCCTATCTCCTCTGCTAAGGCAGTGAAAGGTAGACCCCTCCCTCCCTCTTCCAAAAGGGACAGATCTCACAGACAAGCATTAGGATGGAATCTCCTCTCTCTTTTATCACCCAATAAGGCAGGAGTAAACTGACTTCAAGTCTTCCTCTTAGGCCTTTCAGCCTCTAGGTCCTTCTGTTAGGGGGGAACAGGATGTCCTAAAGCTAACTCCCTACAGGTTTTGTGGACTCCACCCCCACCCCAGGCCAAAGCCAAAGACACTGGGAACTCCAAATCCCATCACCACCAAAGGGAAGGTGGCTGGGACCTAAGGGTGGGGTTAAGCAGCCAGATTGGTATAAAGCCAGACATGTGGGTTTTGGAGGGGTTCCCCCATTTTGGCTCTGCACCAGCTCGCAGCGTCTAGCCAGCTCTGAGAGTGACTTTGGTTTCCAGGTCTGCGGATCGGGTAGGACGCATTAAAGACTTTATTTCCCTATTTTCTCCCTGAGTTGTACATTTTCCTTATTTCCTTTTCCCTTGTAAATAAACCTTTCATTAACCTTTTGTGTCTGCCTGTAGTAGAGTATTCATAAGTCCCTTGTAAGCGCGCGGGTGAGGACCCACAGCCAGGCAACCCGTTCAATATCGGGGCTGCCCTATAACACTTCCATAAGGCCAGAATACAGTAAATAATGACACAAGTCTGGGGGCTGGCCAGGGAGAATGGAGATTCTCAGAACCTTCTTAATTAAGGCTGATGTTCTTCATGCATCAAATGGCTCAACCCAGTGAAGTGAAGTTTTTTTCTGTATTGGGGTTTAAGACTCAAATCCAATAACAATGTTGTTACTTTGCTCCTATTTCTCATGGTTTCTTAGAAAGCTAGGGTGAGGCCTGCTGCAAGTATTGGGTAGCAGGAGTTAGCCACCATCTGGTATAAAACCCAGGCATTCCTGGTCCCCTGTTCCTAATACCAAAGAAAGTCTCAATACCAGTATCATATCTTCACAGTGACACCTCCAATTTAAGAAACCTCCTGGTTGGCATTGTGTTAAAAAATGTGACTTTTTATCAACAAGATCAGCCCTCTTAGGTAGCACTCTTAAGCACCAGTGTGAAATTCAAACTAAAGAGTGAACTCCAAGTTCACCAAGTGTGGGAAAAGGGAATCAGCCCTCCAAGCCCACAAAAGTCTTAAAAGATATAGGTGAAAGAGTATAAAGGCTCACGTAGAGTTGTAAAAGTCCCCAAAAAAGCCATATTTAATGGCCTAAAGAGATAATTATATTTCCTTTTTAAAACTGTATGGTTAACTTTGGGTAGTGCAACTATTTCATAAAGAAAGATAATTGAATCCTCTTTTTTCCCTACTAAGATGAGGGTTACCCACCTCACAGACATGCAGTGGTTACTACAGATTACTGGGAGGAAGCAGTGGGGGGAGATGAGGAATTATACATAAAAGAAAATCAGGGACTCCCTGGTGGCGCAAGGTTAAGTCTCAGCACTATCAAGCTAATGGCAGCCATTGCAGCACAAGTTCAATGCCAGGCCAGGAAGCTAACCCACATGGCGCAGCAGACCTCTCCTGTCTCACCTACTGCTCCCCTCAGCAGTGGATTTCAGTGGATCCGCCTATTCTGCTCCCCACTCTGTCTCTGGTGAATCCTCTCGCTCCCTGAACCTCTCTCTAGCCTACACCCCAGCTCTTATAGGCATAAATAAATCTTTTTTTTTTAAAAAAAAGAAAATCAACTACATGTATAATCACTCCTTAGCTTACAGTGGGAACCTATAAACATATGTTTCAACTCAACTACCGTTCTGTCAATCATGGAGAAAAATGCAAAAGTGAAGAAAGTGAAGAAAAGTCACTGTAAACCCGTATCACAGAGTCTCACTTTTCCATAACCAAAATTATTGATCCTCTTTTCCCAAGGCTGCCAGTTTGCTAAAATTAAGCACTTCGGGATTGTTTTCTATTCCCTAAGCATTTCATGAGAAGTGACCAGGATGTTATTCTGACAAGGTAAGAGATTCATACAGACAAGGTGACATAAGAAGTCAACACTATTTCAACACCCATTTCCAGGCTTCATGCACATACATGGGACACTTTCATTTGCTTAGAACACCAGGGATATACAGAAAAAGAAAGAAGTTATCTCTAGTCAAGACAATGCCTCCACTATTAAACAAGGCAACTGCCTGCCAAGCTGCCCCATAAAATTATCATGAAATAGAAACAATTTAGTGCCAAGGACCATAGAAAAGACAAAAGTCAGAAACGAGAATTAGAAACGAAGGAAAACCACAGGTGTGAAATGTAAAACTTAGGACACAAAGCAGTATCTTTTGGGTTATTTCCCAGTGACAAGAAAGGGAAAGAAGTCAGTCAATATTCAGGTTTAAATTGGGAAACCACAGTCTTCTCCAGTGACAGTTAAAGAAGGTAAAGTCAGGCCAGGAGACTTGGGAAAGGTCCTCACACATCAATCAGTGGTGACAGCTCCTCAAAAAGTGAATCTCCTCTGTTTTGACTGATAACCCAGACAAAACTACACATATATTCAACTTAAACAGGTGTGCCTCAACCCCACAGCTCTGAGAACTATGGAAAGTTACACACCTGAGAGAGCTGATGAAACTTTATTTTTTTATTTATACAAGAACTGGGGTATAGGCCAGAGGCACAGGAGGGTGAGAAGATTCACCAGAGACAGAGCGGGGAGCAGAACAGGCAGACGGACCAAAGACACTGCTCAGGGGAGCAGCGGGAGAGACAGGAGAGGTCTGTCGCGCCATGTGGGACCCTCGCCAGCTGGCCAGGATTGAAGCCATGCTACAGAGGCTGTGGACAGCTTCACAGAGGTGCATTCAACCCACTGTGCCACTGGGGAGGCCCTGACAAAACATTTAAGTGGAATTAAAAGATGAAGCCATGAGTGGGAAGGATTACCATCCAAATGGTTAACTTTAGGGACCAAAACTTCCTTTATTTGCAATGATAGTGGATGGAAATTATACATTTTCTTCCTTCCCTCCAGAGCAGGCTGGCTCCTATTTTTTCTTAGGGGTGCAGGATCACTGTTTACATTACTGTGTTCAGTCATAAGGTGCTAAGGTGATGTACCAAGGAGTTACTGA